ATGACCGGCCGTGGATGGGCGCGCTTTAGAGCCGCCTTATGGGCAGCTTCAAGCTGCCACCTCTGTTCTCCGTCGAGGTCATTGGTGATCACACCACGTGTCTCAGTTGACGCGAGGTCAGGGAACGGATATGGAGTCCGCAAGACACGAGCAGGGCTTGTATCGCGCCGCTGGCGCTGCTCGTCTTCCTCGTCATCCCATGCGAGAAAAGGCGTGTCAGACTCATAGTCGACCACATCCTCAACGAGGCCCCTCGGCACTGAATGCGTACGCGGAGCGCGACGTTTGTGCTCATCGAGTCTAGTTTATACATCCCGGTGCTGCAAACGCACTGTTCGACGTTGCGCAGAGTGCGGGCGACGAAGTTGGACTCTGCCCATGCTCGCCGTCAGACCGGCGAGACTTGGAGATTTTGGTGTCATTGACACAGGGCTCATTAACAAGGAAATAATTTGTTCCAACGAATAGAGTTGCAGTGTCGAACGGACACGCGAGCGTCGTTGAGGCAATAATTGATTGGAACTGCATATGTTCTCAATCTTAATGGGGGAGGGTGTAACGGGGTTAAACGTACCCTGGTAACGGGGTGTATGTCACACGAGATGTGCATGGTGTGACTGCATCCAAACAAGTATACGGTATGTGGCTATGTAGCCAGTAGTTATGCATGTATCTAGATTTTACTATATGTATTTAGTGTATTGAGAAAAATCTAAAATTTTAAAATTAGGATAAAAAATAAATAAAAATCGGTTTTGATTTTGAACAACAGTGCTCGTTTGCCTTTGTTAAGGTTTTTAGTACTTAGAAGTAGCGATTTGCGACCCGCTAAGTACTTGGTTTTTGTCAGGAACGATAGGTCGGTGACTTCAGTATGCTTCCTCAAGCGCTTTGCAGCGGCAGCCCCGCTGCACAGCATGTGATATTCGTACTAACAGCATACATTAACAAACCATAGCTAAGCCTGACCGGCGAGTAAGTTTCAAAATACCTAAGCGCAATCGTCTGCAGTAATCTCAGTGCGACGATGAGAGCTTCGAAGTAAGTCATGCTACAATTTTCATTGTGCCTTAGCGCAAACACTCATATATATCGAATACTGTACCATCCGAACGCCGAGCAAAATCTCACAGGTAGCCTCCTTTCACTTATCAGCTTCAGATGAGGCAATTGCTTTGGCATCACTATACGGTCAATCTGCAGCTAATAGTGCAAGCTTGTCACCATCATCTTTCCGTGATCGCTTTGGCTTTGGCGCACGTAATTTGTCTTATCTATCACTCAACGTAAGGAGCGGGAGCTCAAAAGCAATCACAATCATTCTGACAAGTGTTTGGGATGTGGTAGATCTATTACATATCATTGTTGTTGTTTGCCAAGTGAGTACATGAATCAAAATGCGGATCTCGTGACATATCTTTATTTTCTCGAATACTAAGTGGTTGCCCTCAGCTCTAATTTAAATTGACCGCAATGATCGAAATGCTTGAGTGAATGTACCTTAGATAGATGCAAGTGGTTCTGCAGGATTGTGATAATCAAATTAAAGAGATTGATGCGCTCATTGGCACTTCAGTTGTGTCAAACTTCAACTCGAACGAATCTCCTGGGTGGGTTATATCAACATTTGCTCTAGTAATTGATGTGTATGCACTAGAGACAGGGAGTGAAGCTGTTGTTTCGCCAACATCATCGAATGCCGCTTGCTCTGTGCGACTAACTGGATGACTTAGACACCTTCAAACGCACAATTTGTCTCTTTTATCTGAATCTCAACATGTTTTTATCATGGCGCACACTCAATTTAAACATAGTAATGAGATTTGAAATTTCATTATTGATCGACGATTTAATCTAATCTACGCGATTGCGGATCGTATTTGATGTTCAGAATCACTTTATACAGTGAAAAATTAAAACTTGTCGTATTTAATATGATTACGAAAACTGACGGATAGACCTGTTTCATGAGTGTAGTATCCATACTTTTGTAATCGTTGAGGCTCGCTGAAGGCACCTTTTTTTACTATATCTTTACTTACTTTAAATGAAAAGCCCACATGGCAACATGAATAGAGATGTACTTCAATCGTTTGTCAAGCAAAGCAGCTGTGTTTGTTTATATCGTCATAATACTGACATCGGTGTTAGGAATATTTACAATTGCACAAAAAATTTCGTTTAATTGTACTACTGTACATTTTTATACATATAATTTGTACATCATGTGTAAGGGATCAAGCAGAAGCAGATATAGTACTTGACTAAGAGAAAACTTCATATAGTATTACCAGCATGATACCATGCATTCTTATACCATCAAATTAAGAAAATGACCCCAAATTTGCACAGTGTTTTCATCTTTTTGAATCGCTCATTGTTATATTCTCAAGTCAGTACTACATTGTCGATTTGTATTGACTATAGAGTCGTTTAATATGCAATTAAATGTGTAGGATCACATGGAATAATATTATTAATACGAAAAATGTTGTCAATGTATAAAGTCTAGAAACAATAGTCATTCATAAATGGGAATGTTATCAATTGATACTTTAGGTTCATGACTGTCTGTCTCTTTGTCCATCAACAAATGACTCGAAGTCTTCCCTATTCCTTCTTGAGTATCGATCTTAAAACATTTGCCAATTTCTTTTTGTTCATCTTCTCTTCTTTATGAACGTGTAACGTTGTATAGAAAAGTTTAAGAGGTATAAAGACACGGAATTGGGGCGAATCTTAATGATCAGAAGATAGTGCAATTGCTTCAAGATGCAGTGAGAAGAATGATGAGCATTTGAAGTCAGTTAGATTCGTTTTAAAGGAGAAGAGAAAGGTCTCGAAACCCTAGTGTGATAAGAAACTGTCGATGCAGTAATAAAGATTATGAGCTAAGTAGTTTTTATTTTTCAGAAGAACTTGATAGTTTATGTATGATTCTGTCATTACTATCACTCTGTAACGGGATATAAAACCTATTATGGTGTGTCTACATCAACTAAGAACTGTGGTGAAATTGGTGAAATTTAAGTATTGTAAGAATGACATTTTGGCGTTTAGCCCATCATCGAGATAGAACTAGTCACTCTTATATATTATGACTTCTTAAAGTATAGTTATGATTATATATACACGTGTAAACATAATCGATCCATTCATGAGATTAAAAATGCATCGGGACGTGGAAGATATCCATCCTGCTGAATCTTAAATCATAGATCAAATTTGTCAAACCTCGTTAAAATTTCACCGGTGCGATTTGAGCCTACGATTAATTGTTTGACAGCCCCACCATCACCCGATTAACATACTGCTCACTTCAAAAAGACACAGTTCGTAGATGCACTATTTGCAAAGATCTTTATGGTTGTCTGGCAAATTAGTATCTGGTTCGTGATTCTTTTCTAGCTTTGTATGGGTCACTTCCACAGGATATCATGATGTTTTCATTTGTCACATTCTTGATACAGTTGTTGACATCACAAATATGTTTACAATGTATTCATATATATACATTACTTACTTGAAGTAGTATATTTTGTAATTTTTCAATGGACACATTCTGGAAAGTGTTTACGCACCAATGTGAATAAAATGTACGTACAACCATCATCGTACATTTTTATAACGTAATACTGTACGACCAGGACACCATAGTAAATGTACGCTCCCCTTTGAAAGCAAAGTCAAAGAGATGCTCTTGTTGTAATGGCACAGAAAGACTGTTCTTCTGACAATAAATCTGAGGGGACCAGAAGAGAAAGTTGTGAACCAACCCATCTGTAATCGTTAAGGTTACATTTGTTTATTATATCTTGACTTACTTCAAGAGAGATGCGCATATGACAACATCATGCGGATCAAAGCAGCTGTATGGCTGTGAAAGAACCAGATTCATAAATGTGCAAATTATTGATAGCTGAATAGAATGCTGAATAAATTTGAGAATTTTCAGCCCAGGTTGGATATCCCGAAAGCCGGATAGACCAGATTTTGTGATGGACATATCCTACGTCTGTCTGACCAAGTGATTTTTCACATGAATCTTGACGTATCATTTCCCAATTTTCCTAACGATGTTCGTGCCAATCCTTTCGACTATATTACTACTTGATGTCAGTGTATCCTCCACGTCTAATTCGAGTTTAGTCCATCATGATGTCGTGTTCGTACGTTCGCTGCCTTCTGCAAATAGTAGCTTGACCGTTGCTGAAGGAGAGGTGGAGAGTTACGATGATGGTGAGCAAGACAGTACTGACACTGGGGAGATAAGAATCATTTCTTCCATCAAAAAGTGGATCGCACCGCGTTCATACAGCCAGTTGCTGCATGGAAAACATCACGAAAGTCTCCAGTCTTCTCAAAAAAGTTGAATGAATTGCTGCAGAGCGATTCAAGAAACATTGAGAAGATATTCAGATATTTTGAGAAGCTTCGCGAGTCAAATGATGAAAACATTGTACTATTCGTCGATAAGACCATCTCCGATTTGCTTCGAAAGTCTGCGACAAGCGAGTTAACACAGATAGAACTGCTCAAATCTAAAACGCCTGCATCTAAGATCTTCACAAGTTTGATGCTACAAACACAAGACGGGTCTCTTGAAGAATTTTTCCGCCTTGAGCTTCACATTACGTTTCTGTCTTACGCCACCAAACTAATGGTCCAAGAAGGCACTGCGATAAATCGCCGTGGACCCTCAGAAGACCTATATCGTATTCTCACGGCAAATCGCAATGGAGAAACTTTGATAGCTTGGCTTGGAAAATGTCAGTTGGCTGGCGATTCGAAAAAGTTAATCGAATCTTTCATATATGGCTTGTTGAGATCGTCTACGACCAAACATCTAGCATATCGACTTCTATCGTTGCGTGATGAAGATGTTCTTGTTCTTTTCAGAATTCTCTATGGGCCAAAAGAGGAGCCCGATGAGTTGAGGATAAAGAGTGAGTTGCTTAAGTATGCTGCATTTATTCGTTTCAACTACATTGAACACGAGTCAAAGAGTTTTTCTTTCGTTGTGCCTGCTCTGCATGATTACTTGAAAAGTTCGTTCGGACTATCGGCTGAAGATCAAAGGCAGTTATTTTCGCGAAAAGAAGTGGAATTGGTTATGCCAAAGCTTGATCCGGAGTACGAAACCTATAAGGGTTTCTCCTGGTCAGAGTTTACGGAGGATGAAGTGCGTTTGTTCAAAGCTGCATTGCAATCCAACGAGTATGCAATTTTGGTCAGAGAGGCGTTAAAAGCAAACAGGCAGGTTGCTTCATTTGCCAATAAGTTAGGGGAGCAGAATGCGGTGAACACGTTTATGTGGATGCTGAACCAGGAGGAACTCGTGCAAATGCTTCAAGCGGTGCTTAAAGACGTTAACGCAGTGCAAGTGGCTGAAGAAATTCGAAACGAAAATAGTGATCTTTCGTCGTATTTTATGAAACATGGTGCAGATACGACTATCTTTCGTTATTGGTTCGCCAATGATGATAGATTGAGAGTGCTCGAAACGTCTATGATGGATGAAAACAGTCTGACGATGTTTAAAGATGCGTTGGGGTCAGCAGGACAGTTAAAATTGGTTGCTGACATGTTAAGCAGTACGGAATTGGATACGGTGACGATACTCAAATCGATACTTGACGATGAGATTATAGTGAAGTATCTCAAAGAGGCTGTGAAGGATGACAAGAGTTTGGAATCATTTAGATTGGCTTTGGAGCACACGATAGATGTCAAGAATATCAAGTCAAAGGCTGGTCATGGTCTCAAAGCTGTATTAAATGATATGAATCAAGTGTTTTCTCTAAGAGTGGCTATCAAAGATGATAGTCGTGCGACGTTGTTTCGAGCGGCTTTGGAGGATAAGAAACATGAGGATGATTTCTTCAAAGCATTGAACGAAAAGAGATTGACAAATGTGTTTATATCGATACTTGCTGAAAACGAAAAGTTGGAATGGCTTGAAAGGGCTGTTGCGAAAGGAAGATACGGGAGGTTGGAATTTGATAGAGATGACAAGATGCTGGCAGATGAGATGGTAAAGTATATCAACTCAGGACAAGGCGACAAAACTCATTACTAGTTACTAACATTGCTTACATTGTCTAATCAATTCTCATCTGTTCTTGACCATGAATCTTGGTCTTTTAGCTTTGGTAGATACTTCGTATCGATAGAATTAAATATACTTTTGTTTTCTAAAGCTTAGATCAAGTACAAAATTCTGTTTATTTGAGGGTAAAAACACTATGTAAAATTTGATATGTACCTAATCTTCTCGTGCCATATCATATCTATACCAAATTACTCTGCCATAATAATATACGACGATCTGGTCAGTAAACAATTAAACGGACGAGGGACGAAGGTACTGACTAGGTACTCCACGGTGAAATCTAATACCGCATTGTTAAGTTTAGGATACGGAATCCTTAATTTTTGAATGTGAAGCCACCACGCGTTAACAAATAGGCTAATTAACTTTTTGAAAGTTATGAGCGTCGTAATTACAATACTCCCAATCGCCGTGAATGCTTGATGATCATTGATCTTAACAACCGCTACCTAGCTTAAAAATACAAGCATCTTGGCTCCAAGTGCCTTCTTCAGCATATCTTCAAGCTGACGCTTCGTGTCGATGTACTTGATCTTTGAATTCTCCCTCTTGCACATGCCCGCGTATCCAACTCTGTGTTTTGAATGCAGTTTTGAGCACTGCCTTATATTCATTGCTTTCCCTGCTTGTTATTGCTGAGACGATCATGTCAAGGCCTACGTAAATAAGCCTCCCAGCGATTGCTTGACATAAACGCATTGACCCCGAAACTCTTCATACCATTTTCCCAAAAAGTACTATTTTATGGGCTCTTGCGGTGTGTATCAACTTGCACATAGCTTTTTTAATTGACATACGTGTCTTAGAGTATTGTCGACACCCAGCGGAGCATCCATATCAACGTTGTATTTAAGCACACTGTTTAGTATAGCGCCATTGACCTCCGGCTATTCCGTTTAATAGCCGCTTTCAACACACACTGCAAGAATCATATAAATTACTTTCATGTTGGCGATTTGATATAAGCCTTCAATAAATTGATTCCATACTTTTGTTTAAAATTCTTCGTGACGCGTCATCACCTGAACCGCACAGCCTTTCTAATCACTCTCCTTGGCTAAAAGCCATCGTGATCCAGTCGTGCGATTGTTCTCCTCTGTTGGCTTTGATATCCATATTTGGTTCTGCTTCTGGTTGCGAAGCTTGCTTGAACATCTCAACGCCAATTTGCTGCATCGTCGCTTGCCATTACCTCAGCATATGTAGTCAGAAAGTCCGTATTATCCTCACTTGTTTCCCCAGGTATGCAAAACAGCATCTACAATATATTCATATCCGTCAATCCTAGCACATTTCGACGTCGGCGGATCGCCACTTTCATCTGTTGCCTCTGCAACATCTGAGCAGTTTGTAGCACCGCATCAGCTCATACCTTCGTCTTGTTTGCTCTACATCAGGCCGAAACACTAACTGATCTACTTGACGCGTATGAAGTGATGGACGACACTCTACTTGCTCCAGTCTGTTTTCGACATAGTGATAGGAAACGGATGGTCTATTGCTTAGTGAGAAGCCCGCGTGCTAGCGTATCGCTTACACACATTGAGATATAGTTATCTTGTGTCGTTTAACGTGCATTTTTCCAAGTGTTTCCTAACCTTGACGTACCCGATCTTTGGCTAAATTTTGCTGCTCTTACTCGTTTCAACCCCATTGAGCATCAGGCGACAAAGTTCGAAGTAGACGTGGAGTAATAAAGACGAAAGAATAAACACGAGCATCGTCAGAAATATTGGGAGCGACAAAAGACTGGGTCAGGCCGACGTAAAAAATGCTAGTCCCGAGACGCTTAAATTTTTGAGTTGTTTACTATTGAGATCCCAGATTATGTTTCGCTTGCACATCTATCAACAAAGCAAAATCTGGTCAATAGTGACAATAAAACTAATGAAGCACATCTCTTTTGACGTTGCTACGTGCGTATCTCTCTTGAAGTAAGTCAAAATATAGTGCATAAATTTAACATCAGCGAATACGAAAATCGATAGATGGGTGGTCAACAACCCTCGTCTTCTGGTCCATTCTAACTTTTATCAACCAGACAATTATGCGGATCGATTTGTTGAATTGCAAATTCATAGAAAAATATCAATTGAACTTCATTAAAGTAGAAAAGTCACGACTGTACAAACGGCACAAGCTTGCTTCGCTTTATCAAAGTGAATTTTCTTAGATTTATCGATACAAGGCTACCCAACTAACTGTGGAAATGCACCACTGACTGTGTGTTGATGACGTCACAAGTACTACGTTAATGTTGTCGGACATATAGTAGACGTTCATTGGTCTGAATAAATAAGGTTGCTTGTAGAAGGCTCTAGAATGATCTGGACGGATAGGCTTAGTTGTAGCACAGGATAGCGAACTAAGGACCTTATTATATAACTTCGGTTTTTACCAACGATCCAACAGGTTAAGAGCCACACGAAAAAATCTAACCAGCACGCTTCATCCTCACAGCTATGACGTCCAAGCGAATAGGTGTTCGCTTAGGCAGTGGGAATTACTATCACTGAGAGTTTAACATGCGCATGACACTTGCGCGAAAGGGGTTGTTGGCGAACGTTCAAGTCGTCACGAGAGAAGAGGAGATGACAAAATCTTGTCTGTTCAGCGACGCCAAGGCGCTGAGGACCATTACTCAGTGAGCACCAGACCAAGATTCGCTCTGCGTCGACGGCTATGCACGTTTGGAACATTCTACGAGAATTCTTCAACTGTACCACGCTTCACAACCGTGTCGAGATGACGCCTGCCTGCATTAGTTCAAGATAGAGAGTCGCTCGATTATGTCCAAGCATCTGGATGCGTTCGACAAATTTGTTGTCGGACTTCAGTCACTTGGAGAGCCTGTTGAAAAATTGCGATAGCTTGTGGTACTGCTGAGCAGCCTCCCGACAGATTATGAGCTGATAGTGCTGATTGTGGAAAATGCCAAGGACATCACGTTTATTGAGGTCAAGAAGGAGCTGTTGAAGGAGCATGAACGGTTGCAAAACAAGTAGACGACGGAAAAGCATTTCCTGTTCACGGAAGCGGTGGACGGTTTAGAAGCAATCGTGGACCTTGACAAAAAATTACGGTCCAAGGAAGAGTAAAGGTGGCTTCAATGAAAAGTGCTTTAAGTGTCATCGAGTTGGACACATGAGAAAAATTGCCCTGACGGAAGCGATGGCATTGATGAAGACGCGGTATTCGCTGTTGGCGAAAATCGGATTGATAGATTGCTGATCGATAGCGGTGAGATCGCATATGACACCATAACGTGAAGACTCAATTGATTTTGATGCTACGATCCTAAACATCAATGTGACCATAGCAAATGGAAAGAACTTCCGTGTTCTTGGTAAAGAAACTGTGAAGCTGATTGAGATGGACGGTAAGCACATCAGAATTCTAGATGTTTTGTACATTCCACGACTCGATAGACGGCTTTTATTGGATCGAAAACTTGAAGAATGTGGATTACGTGTGGGATTTCAGCAATTTTCATGTGTGATCTGGGACAAGAACAAGGCTTTCGCTCTGGCGAAATGGTTGGCAAAGTTTTCGTCCTTGTTTGCATGTTTGCGTTTTGTGAATACGCCGGTGTTGACAATCATTGGGAGGTGTGGCACGCGCGCATGGGACACTCAAGAGAGAACGGTATTGTCAAAACTCAGCATGTCACGCATTGTATGCCAGCTTTACGCCGTGGCTTTAAGACTGTCAGGGTGGATGCGTGAAGGGTAAGCAGACTGTTTCGCCGTTTTCATCACAATCAATATCTAAGACATCATGTGTTTTGGAGTTAGTTCAAACGCGTTCGTGAGCAACAAGGTCACAGCTATGTGCTCCCGGGATGGTATCATGCATCAGCGGACTGTACTTTTAGCCCCCAACAAAACGTTGTAGCGGAATGGATGTATCACACTATCATGGAGAAGGCAAGAAGCATGCTTTATTACAAGGGCATGTCAATGATTTGGTGGGCGGAGGCTGTAAGTACTGCACATTTTTTGATTAATAGATCTGTGAACACTGAACGAAGTGATATGACGCCGTACGAAGTAAGTTTTAAGAAGAAACCACGAGTGGGACACCTGCGTGTGTTTGAGTCCCACGGATATGATCACGTTGACAGGGTAAGTTTGACATAAGCGTATGCTTCTTGGATATTTTAAAACTCGAAGGGGAGTCGTGTTTATAATTTGGAATCCTCAAAAAGTAAGATTTCACGATCTGTTCAGCTTGATGAGCGTGAGAATAACGGTATTTACTTTACACCGTGTTCGAAAACAGAGTCAGTTACTATTTTTTCGAGGAAATGAATGAAGGAGCGATCCCTTTTTCCTCTAAGCGACCGCCGGTGATATACGAACCTATGCACAGTGTTGAGGAGTCTACGCAAGATATTGAGATGGACGAGGTCGAATCATAGCGCAATATCAATCTGGAGCGACCTTAGCACTCGAAGATCGGATAGCAACTGGGCAAGAGCTGACTTAATATCACTCTCCACGGAGAATTGTTTGATATTTTGTCTGGGCACAGAGCGGTCAAGGCGTTTTTGCGAGCCAGCTTTATTACTGGAAGACGGCTTGGAGCTGAATGATGGAAGAAATTTGGAAGAAAGCGAACGATTAGCGTCTCCGAAGCGCCCGAAGATGGATTACTTGCCGAAGCAGTGCTGGCTTATGCGACAAGAACTGACGGTGTCTCTGACATTCCAAAAGCATACGCAGAAGCAGTTGCAAATGAAGAAGCAGTGGCGTGGCGAGCAGCAACGAAGACTGAATTACTATCACATGAACAAAACAGCACTTGGTCTATTGTATCGCCCGTCCGATTGGATTTTGGTGGGGTTTCGCAAAGACGCGTGATGAGAACGGCCGAGTCATTCGTTACAAGGCAAGTTTTAAACAAAAGTTCGGTGTGGATTTTTTGAAACGCACTCTCTCGCTAACATGAACTCGATTTGGTTTGTA